TCCCTCCTGATCGATGTCTGTCTTTGTCTCAGTGGTCTTTCCTCAGGACTTATTGGAGAGAGGACTGGAAGCCAGCAACTTTGCCATGTTGGGACTGGGGGACATAGTCATCCCGGGGATCTTCATCGCCCTGCTGCTGCGCTTTGACGTCAGGTAACTTCTCCTCCTGCTCCTCCTCCTGCTCCTCCTCCTGCTCCTCTTCCTGCTCCTCCTCCTGCTGAGGCGTCTTTTCTGTTTCTGTCCTCAGCCTGAAGAAGAACAGCAGGACGTACTTCTACTCCAGCTTCTTGGCCTACATCTTCGGACTGGGCCTCACCATCTTCGTCATGCACACCTTCAAGCATGCCCAGGTAGGAGCTCTGGGGTCAAAGGTCAGAAGTCAAGCTGTGCGGTCTTCCTGTTCTGTCCCTCACGGTGTCTCTCCATCTGTCCGCAGCCCGCTCTGCTTTACCTTGTCCCGGCCTGCGTCGGGTTCCCCGTCTTCGTCGCCCTCATCAAAGGAGAACTCCCAGAGATGTTCAGGTGAGTTACCATGGCGACCGCTTCACCTGCCCCCGACCACAGCTGCAGAGCGCACAAAACGTCTGAAGAACGAAGAACCCAGGAAGGACCAAAACCACCAAAACTGCTACTTTGGTCCAGTTCAGACGTGGTTCTGGTTATTCAGCGCCGGGTCTTCTTACATCTGCTCAATAAATTATCCACAAGGTCAATGAAGAACTTTAGGAGGTGCGTTTAGCTCTGGCGGCCATCTTGAGTCAGATTGCCTCCAGAAGTGAAGTATTGGATCCTATGAATTGGACTGAAGCGTTCTCCGTTCAGTTCTACGGGCCTTTTGGGTCATTGTTGGTGCCGTGGACTTCGGTTCTCTCTGTGCTTTTCTACGGCAAGTCCAAATGGACCAACATGGCTGCTCCTTGTGAACATCATCTAATGTCAGTTTGAGGAAGAAAAGGAGGCGGAGTCTGTCTGTCCATCGTTTGTCCCTCGTGTTGACTCGGGTCTGTCCCGTTGAGACATTAAGAGTCACGGTTCTCATAATCTGTCTGACTTCACCCCTGAGCTGTATGGGAGTTTGATTGACAGGTCCTGACTGAACAGTTAGATGTTTGATTGACAAGTCATTTCATGTCTTCTCCTCCATCTTTTCTTTTTTCTCTCCTCCATTCGTCTCGTCATCTTTAGTCACTAAACTTTAGAGTTTAAGTTCAAAAACTTATGCTCCGCCTCTTTCTTTTCTTCTTCTGACCCTCTTCATCCTCTCCTCTTCGTTCCATCTTCTCTCTCTCTCCTCCCACCTCTCTTCGCTCGAAGCTTCGAGTCGTCAGAGGAAGTACTTCCTGCGACTCCACGGATCACTTCCTTCCCTTCAGTGAGCGGCTCTCCTGCCAGCTTGGCCGTGTCCATGGACGCCATGGCAACCGGCTCCTCCACTCGTCACCGCCGCTTACAACCCACCTCCTTGTAGAAACCCCGCCCCCTGCCCTTACTGACCCCTCCCTGTCTCATCTGGGCAGGTAAAGAAGAGCAGCATCCATGCTTTCAGACTCTTCATTAATTATTAGTTTTAAACGGGTTAGGTGTTTCATTAGACATTTTGAGAGGCGGAGCCTAACATCATCAAACAGTTTCAAACAGCTGAAAATATTTAAGCAACAAATAAAATGTTCCTGACTGATTGACAGGTCCTGAGCCTTTTATTCAGGAGCTGTGGGGACAACAAATGTGCATGTTTGTGTGTTTTTGTTTATTAAACTGTGTCGATGACATCAGGGGGAGGAGTTTGTGTTGTCATGGTGATGTGGCACTAACGGGTTAACGAGTACCTTCGCAGTGAAACTGGTTTCAGTTTTATAACCTGGATAAAAACGGATCACTTAGACCGCCATCACTGGGCTGAGGTGTAAACTCTGGCTCCGCCCTGACTCCACCCTAGACCCGCTCACCTGACCTCAGATCAGTTCCAGGAAATTAGTCCGGTCTATTTAATTCAGCTCAGTCAGTATTGATCAGTTTGAGCCAATAATTACTACAATCAGTTGAATTAAATGATACCAGATCGGTTTCTAAATGTTTTAACTTTAATAAGATCTTTGACTGACTTTGATTTTGACTTTGATTCAGACTCTCAAAATCTCTTCTTCCTCATCTGCAGGTACGAAGAGACTTCTGAGGAGGCGGAGCCTAAAGAGGATTCTTCAGAATCTGAGAAAAAAGACCAATAACATTCATTGCGACCCCTCCCCCACATTTCTCTGAAGCCCCTCCCCCCACATCTCTCCAGCTTCCCATTTGTTGCCAGGGGAATTGAGGGGCGGGGTTTATGTTGCCAACATGTTTGTCTCTGGTAACCATGGGAACGACAGATGGTCTCCATGGTTGTGGCTTCTGTCAGACTGCTGGTGGCAGCGTGTGTTCGTGACTCCTCCTCTTCATCATAGGTGCACTCACGCAGAAACATCGAGCTGCTGCAGGGGGCGGGGCTACAGGCAGTGTGATGTTTTTGTGTGTTTGCAGCTCGTCAGCTCACAGAAACCAGGAAGTTGTTCTGGCTTTGAGCTCAAACAAGACCCATCCAGATCTGAGCCCACCTTCAGAACCACATCATCCAGGTGTCTCTCCTGGTGTCTTTAACCTCATCCAGATGTGTCTCGTCATCTTTAGAGATACTCCAGATAGTCCAGGTGTGTCCCCGGTCTCCCTGCTTCCTGGTTCATCAGCCGCTCTCTCTGCCTTCTGCTTTGTTCAGCCATTTTCTGTCGGCTACCTTTTTTTTTCTCAACAAGCCCAGAGTTTTAAGAAGGATAAACATCTGACTAGAAGGTTTTTTTTTTTCACATTTTGGTTTTAGTATTTTTAGTTTTTACATCTGGACTTCATTTAAACTGAAAGTTTTCTGACAGTGTTAACTCTTCTGGTTAAAAGACCTTTTTGGACACTTGTAGATTTCAAACCTGAAGCATCGGAGCTGCCGCTTCCTGTTTAATTCTGACTTCTGCCTCGTCGATCTGATGCCAAGCAGCTTTCAGTTTGACAAGTTTTAATGTAAAGGACAGAAACGATTGACTGTTTATTTCTGCTGAAGTCCATAAATTTAAATTTTGTTTTATGAATGAAGCCTGAAAAATAAAACTACAGGAAATAATGTTTTCAAATGATTACTGTTAATGCTAGACTTCAACAACAAAAGGTTTCTTTAAGTTGTGGTGAAGGCTCAGTGGATGTTTCTGAGCTCCTCTGAATTAAATAAAATAATAAAACTTCAGTTTTAAGGACCAAAACTTTTCTCTGTTTCTGCTAAACACGCTAAAATCAGTTTTCTTCAGCTGCTAGCTTTCTGGTCTGAGGTTTACTAGCGAGGGGAGGAGCAAGCAAAAGGGGGAGGAGACAGTGAACAGCCTGTGGGGGAGGAGCCAAACAATCCTCGTCCAATCAGCTGAGACTGAACGTTTAAAGGGATTTTTTTTTTAATCCGCGCTGAAACAAAGTTTGACTTGATTTACGGATTCATTTGTTTCTTAACTTTTTTTTTTAGCCGTTAAATAATATTTAAGTTTTTGATGAAAACAAATGATTACAAAGACTGAAGATTGTGATGTTTTCTTTTAAAGTCCAGGTTTTATTTCACACATTTTGAAATGTTAAGTGCAGAACTGAAGATGACATTTTGTTAAAGAACTGCTGGAACGTTGAAACTGAAGCAGCAGGTTACCCCTTCAAAGCTGCTCCTGGAAACTACAGCTCCCAGAATGCAATACTCCCATGTTCTCCTGTGTAACTGGTTCAGTGAAACACCACAACCTGTAGCGTAGATGATTTGAACTGGTTATGTTGTTGGGTTCAGGAAAGGATTCACAGTTTTAGTATTTTGATGTAAACTGCAGAAGTGTTGCTCGGTGAAGTTCAGTATCTTTTTATTTTAAATCTGTTTTTCAAACGTTTTGTTTTCTTCCTCTGGTTGTTTTTGTGAACACGGTCATTTCGCTGCCTCAAATGTATCTGTTTTATTTGCAATAAACCTTTTGGTGTTTGGATCACCGTTTAAAGACGCACAACTCTGACTCGACTGTTTGACCTCTTCGTTGGTGGTTCTCTAGAACCGGACCAGTTACATCCTCTCATCACATGACAGGAGGTCTGTGTACCAACTGAACTGTCAAGCATGGTGGTGGTACCATCATGTTGAGGTACTGAACCAGATGGAATAAGTGAGTTCTTCAATTTCACCTCAGATCAGAACCAGTTCCTGATTGGATAAAGCAGGCTAACTTTAGCAAACCCATTCAAGTTTCCAAAAACCAGTCCGTTTCAGGAAACCAACTTGCTGTCATGAAGAAGAGTGGTCTGATATCAGCTAAAACTCACAACCTTCATGTTACAGATGGCCTGAGGTCCAGGTGAGACCGCTGAGAGGCATTTAACCAAACCGTGTGGTGGCTTCGTATGTTTCAGCCTGGTGGGATAATGTAAAAATCAGATATTTTATATGTCCGTCTTTTATAATCAAAGAGTTATTTTTATTTTTACCAGTCAAACTTTGCAGAAAATGATTAACGTTTATTTTGAAAAGCGCTACCCGGACGTGTTTCCACAGTTCCGGCGCACGCGAAGCTTTGGTTTGTTTTGAGTTTGTTTTAGCTCGCAGGGACAAAAAGATGGGGGAAGCAGATGTGACCCTGAGTCAGAGCGAGGAGAAGCCCCCGGACTCCGGCCTGGTTCCCGGGGAGGACTCGGTGGTCTGGAGCCACGAGGTGGAGGTCTGTTTGTTTCACGCGATGATTGGACACAAACCGGTCGGTAAGAAACTGCCGCTACTGTTAGCAGCTGGTGTTAGCATCCAGGGTTAGCATCCAGGGTTAGCAGCTGGTGTTAGCATCCAGGGTTAGCAG